AAAAGCATAAGTGAATGTTTATTTTCAATTTGATATTATGATTAAGAAAGTAATGATACTCTAGTAGCAGAAGGTGGATTTGAAAGGGTGAAGGATTATTCAAAATATGAAGTTGGTTTTTGGTGTAGGCTGATACAAACTTAGTTTATCCGTGGTGGATTGACAGTAATTATAAAATGTTTCATTTACCTTTGGCACTGAATACAGATGATTACTCGAATTTTTACACTGTCCACACAAAATACAGAATTGTCCCATTTTACAAAAAGTATCCTTATACACTATATAAAACTATTCCTTATTACTACTGAAAAATGTAACCAAACTAAAATAACTGAGAACTAACGAACGAAAACTATAATAAAAAATGCGAACAATGTAAAGATTGGGATGACAAAAAATATCAATTTCAAAATACCAAAAGTTGAAAATTCTTTTTGACAATGACAGATAATAATTAATTTGACTGACTCAGCGGGGACTCGAACAATTCAGAATAGCGCCATCTTGGGAAAACCTCGTAAGTGTTGTTAAAAGCAACAGGTGGTTCCTTCAAAAAGTTCAAAACAAAATCTAAGCGTTACCAACACCAGGGTTTCTAGGAATCTTAGACATGATACGTCTATTCACGAGGCCGCCTCTGATTATTTACTTTTTACTTTGCAATACGTCAGTTTGAGGAAATGAGCGAGATAGAGTAGGCGAGTTCTTTAATGCATCAGTGGATCTATTGGTCCATTCGAAACATTAACGCGTTTCTATTTGTAGAAGGAATGGAAATATTTTGATGAATTTAAGAACTCGCCAATCGTTCATTGTTCAGTAATTACCAGAAATCCAGTTTGCTACAAACCATTCTTGTGAGAAAAGAATACTCATATACTAGTGTTATGAGACATCATTGACTGTGACCTCGTAATTTGTAACTAGAACCGGTGAGACAGCTGTCAGATTTTCATCGTTCAGCAACAGGCAATAGATTCAGTTGTTTTAAGTCACTGTGATTGCGTTGTTTAAAGATAGTATTTTTTTTGATTCAGTGAATAGTTGGTTGTAGTTGTTACAGCGAACAAGTGTAAATTGAATATCCGAAGAAAAAAAATGGCTGTAAGTAATTTTATTTATCTCTTCACTGAAAAATATTTTGTTGACAAAATATTTACAGCCCACAGTTTATCCCTACGAAAACTTTGATGATGAAGAAGATGCCAAAACTTTGAAGCAGGCATTCAAAGGATTTGGTACAGACGAGGATGCAGTAATTGAGATCATCACTAGGAGGAGTAATGAGCAGAGAAGGGCAATAGCATCCAGATTCAAAACGATGTATGGAAAGGTATGTTTCAATTTCGATATCCCGGCACAATCAACCGATACTGCTTTCAATATAATTCCAAGACATCGAAAACAGCAATATGAGTATGTACTCCAACATTAGCTTTTCCAAATCCCAGCTGTCATAAATTATGTCTGGTTGAGTGAATCTCCTTGAATGGATATCATTCATTTAAACTAATCCATTAGATCCCATTCATTTTGATTTCATATTCAATTTCTCAGGTTTCATAAATTGTAATTTACTTTAAAATACCCTTATAAGTTTTTGAATGAAAAGAACTTCTACTCCTAGAAAGAATGAGTAATACTAAAATTATAGTTTAAGGAAATATTTGCTACAAGTTAAGAAAAAGTGTAAATGTTAATAAGTACAAATATATTGGTCACAACAAATTTCAGAAATATTTTAGGAACATTTTTCTGCTAGGATATATAAAGAAATATTTATCAAGTATATTTTTTCTCTTTACTTAGCAATTTTTAACAAGNTTTCAAGGTTTCTTCTTGTTATGAAATTCAATGGTTTTTCACTCACTTGAGATATCCCTCTCAAAGGAGTATTTTTTCTAATATTCCTATTAAGTATATAAATAAAATCAACTAGTGTTAATCAGACAAGTGTTTTTATCAATTTCATTAAAAGGAAACCTATTTTAAGTCATAGAAAAAATATAGTTGTGTACTTGCAAAATAGGTATGTTACTTGTTCGCATGATTTATAAGCTCCCTTTTGGCTAACATCGACAAACTTTGTTCTTAAGAGTTATGGCCACATATCTCACTTTTGGAAAAATATGCTGTTGTTTGAGTTTATTGATATGCCCTCGATAGTAGTTTGACAGTTGGATAAATGTTCAGAAATTACATAACACATATTTTATACTATTACATGTTGCACTCCATTTACCTAATAAGAAAAATTTCCCCACTTACTTATCTTGGAGTGAAAACTGTATTTCGGCAACCGATAAAGCTTTGCGGAAAAGGCTATTAATGTGTTAATAAGGTCATCAGTTACTTTTAAAATGTTTACTTTATCTGGTGTGTGAGAAATGAATTCATTCAATTGTTTTCCTCTAAAAAAATAGTTACAATTACTTTACCTAATTGTAAATACCCAACATTCTATTGGTCTTGAATTTTCAGAAAATGTGGTTGTATCAACTCTTGCAGTTTTCCTTTAAATAATGGTGAACATCCAATAATTTAAAAAACAGATTAGTCACCAAAACTTGTGTGATTATCTTTAGATTGATTTATTTCATTTGGCCTTCTAGATGTATGGAACTCAATATTCATGTGAATATTCAATTTCTATTATTCACACCCCATAAAAATACAGGATTTGCTGGAAGCATTTTGTATATTCTGAATTAACCAGTTCAAGGAAAATCAATAGGCATCTTGTCAAAATATTGTATCCATAACAAGCACTTTTCCCAATCACCAGAAATGCAATACTTTTCTCGAAGCAAGTTTCACCAACCAAGTGGGTGTCTTCAGGAGATGAAGAACACAATCAAAAGATTATCATTATTTATATATGAAATTGATTGATTCAAAGTTACCTATCAAATAATAAATGCAGTGAGCCTTCACTTGATGAAAATTAATAACACTTAACCAGACTAACTGGTGAAGCTACCATTAGCAAAACATGTCTCAACTAAAATTATTGTGAAAATTCTGTAATTATTATTGTAGATTACTCATTTAAGAATATTCTTATTGAATACAATATTTACCATATTTACCAAATTGTAGGTTTCAAACTTTTCCTGATATTGTGCAACAAATTATCGACATATAAGCAAATGGAAATTTCACTAATCAATGTATGGATTTAAAAACAAATAATTTCCAGAAATAATGATATATAACCATAGCAAATTCACTGTTCATGAAATCATGTGACCCAAAAGAAATATATGATGTAATTACCTCAAATAGCTCTTTTATCAAATGACGGTAAGGATTTTGAAAAAGTAATCTGTCCCAAGAATTGTGAATTTTGTTGAAAATCACAAACTGATTTCAGATTGTCAAAATGGATTCAGAAAAGGTGAACCCACTTTACAAGCGTTATATTGGCCTTACTGTGATATTGAACTCGCTGAACAATAAAAATGAAACTAGCAGTATGTATAGATCTCTCCAAGGCCTTCAATGGGGTTGACCACACTATGCTCTATTTTGAAATAAAAGGAGTTTCCTTGAAACTGATACACTTCATATCAAATAGATTTCAATACATTATAGAAAGAGATTGAAAAGGAGAACAAAAAATCTGAAAAGGAAAAAAGTGGAGTTGCACAAGGCTCCGTACTTGGGCCACTAATGTTTATTTTATAAATCAACCAGTTGACCAGAAAATTGTCCAATTTGCGGATGACACTCCTTTACTATTCAGTGATATGACTGGAAATGATATAAAAAACAAAATATCGAATTTTCTAAACATAATATAAAATCGGTTTGAAATGAATAATATGCAAATAAATATTAATAAAATTTAACTCATGAAGTTTTCTGATACACAGCAAAATAACACTTTTTCGCTACTCCATGGTGTAGATGAAATTACAGCTGGTCCTTACTTAAAATTATTAGGAATCACGATAGATCCTAAACTGGATTGGAAAAAAAATGTTGTTCAACTAGCACAAAATATGGCAGGCTACTACTATGATTGGCTCAATCAGTAAACATAGAGTCTGCATTAACTGTGTATCATGCATACGTCCAATCTCGTGTTAGCTATGGNAGTTCAGTATTCCCATGGTTCCTCAGAAGATAGTTTGAGATCTGATCACATCCGCCGGCATTAGAATTTTTTAATTTATTTATTAATTAATGGTAGCATGTCACGATATCCACCCTTTAACAGTAGGACAGATATCGTGACAATTATAGACAGTGTTTGGAATTGTTTCATAATATATAGTGTAATTAGAGTCTTTCACATAATTTCTTTTCACCTTCATCGAAAATTATGCTCAAGGTATCACTTGAGTAATTTACAATTCAAGCCAAGCTACACTGACATATAGTTCAAAAGTTATAAGGGACTCAATCAAACAAAAAAAAAAGGTTTTTTAAATTGAAAGGGCATGTTTATGGGAGAGATTCATTTTTGGGAAAGAAAGTTTATGGCTTTTACTTCTCCATCTTGACACAAAAAATGGGAACCTTCCAAAGAAAGGAAGGAAGCAATCAATTAATTTTGTAAATTGAATGCTCCCTTACTTTCTTTGGAAGATTCTTACATGTTCAATATCAAGATGGAGAATTGAAGGCCAAAAACTTGTTTTCACAAATATATCAAAAACTATTGCTCATATTCAAAACTCAAAGAAAGGTCATCAAAAAGCAGAAAAATTTAAAAAATTAATCATTGAACAATTTTTTTTCAAATATTACGGTTGCTTTGTTTTCTATTGATGAAAGCTAATATGATTTTTCATATTCATTATTCCAAAAAATTGTAACATGAGATAATTGAAATTTTTTGGGTCGAATCTCATGTTTTTTTTTAAATTTTATTGCTTGGAAACGCATTTATCATTCAACTAACTATATATTTTTGACAGTAATATCAATATTAAGGAACCAATGTTTTTAAATCATTATCTTCACTGTTCTTTGGTACTCTGCAAAAAAAAAAACGTTTTACTCCAATTAGGTACACTTCAAAATTACTTCACTATATCACTTACTCGCCACTTGTCCAGCTTTCTTTACTCATTTTTAGAGTTATCTAATGCCATTTTCGAGCACTCTTGTAAATTATCCCATAAATTGGAAAATCTTGACAGGCAATGCAGTGATCACCATGTGACTTTATGTTGCAGAAATCTGTTTGCTACCCTCAGTGCCAGTACATTGAGAGCAATTGCGTAAGGTTGTCCTCCATTCAAATCAATCTATCTATTGTTACTCGTTTGCTTCATTATGACCATTTGGAACTGACCACAATCAACTAGCTGTAAGAGTTTCACTTACTTTGTGATATCTATGATGAGAACAATCCTACCTGCAGTAGAATTATTGTTCTTATCAAAAGGGGTGCTTCTTTCCAAGGAAGATCGGTGGTCAAGTGAACATATTTTCGATTCGTTGACCTCTTTGTTCAATTTCTTGTTTACCTCTTTTATATCTGTTCTTTTATCTTGTCTGTCTCGTTTTGACTCCTCCAACTTGACCATTGAATGTCTGCATTATTATCCTAGAGTTCCTTGACTTCGCCTCTAACCTCAAATATTTTGCATTGCTCGTGTTGAACATTTTTTTTATCCGATAAATACAAAGTGCTCTCTTCAGACCTTGCCTGATTTCGTTCAGATGACAGTTCAATTGTTTCTCCTGCTCCGTCAGGTCTTGCCTTCTCTGCTTTTTTGTATTGTTTGTTGCTCTAATCGTTTTAACATAAATCTTGTCATCTCATCGTACTTATTTGATCATGTATTCACCATACACTACTAATTCTGCAGTAATCGCTATTTATTTATTTATCGTTTGTTTGAAGGTGATTGACAATGTTTCATGATGAATTTCACTAATTCGAACTTCCATTGTCTACTATATAAAATGATTTGAAATCCCTGAAACAACTAAAAAAGAAGAATTAAAAATGAATAGCTGAAAATAACAATTATATTAACCAAAATAAA